GTGGGGGGGAGGGCGGTCGAGTCGTGCGGTTCGAATTAAAGCCATCGGGCATGTCCATGTGTGCAGGGGTGGTTACTTTTGTTATTTCCCCACTCGTTTGGGTTGAAAGATAGTGCACTCAGACTCTCACCAACCCGAGTGACGATGAGCTGTGAGGGTGTGCGCGTGTGACTGTGTCTGTGAGCAGTGCGTGGGTGTGCACACACCGAAAACGGCTTGCGTTAACAGACAGTCCGTTGTCCCCCCCTTTTTTAAGAGGTGCGCGCGCACCGGCGCGCGCGGCCTCTACTCGTCCTCGTCGTCCGAGGCGGCGCGGTCCGCGCGGAAGCGCGGGTTGGCCGGCTGCTCGCCGCCGCTCGCGTCTGTGCGGCTCCGCTTGGCAGTCGGCTCGTCGCGCGGCGGCCGAATGTCGCGCCCAAACGCGTCGCGCCCAAAGCTGTCGCGCCCAAAGCTGTCGCGCCCCCCGCCGCCGCCGCTCCTCCGCTCGTCGCGACCCTCGGGGTACGAGCGCCGACGCGCCGACGGCGGCCCGGCGCGCGGGGCGAGGCTCTCCTGCGCGTCCGCCTTGCCCCAGCCTCCGCGGCCCGCGTCAAAATCGGCGCGGTACTCGTCGCGCACCTGCCCGCCCGACCTGCCGCGGCCGTACTGCCTCCCCTCCACGAAGCCGCCGTCCCAGTCGACGCGGACCACCCGCTCGTCGAGCTTCATGCCGTTGAGGAAGCGGACGGCGTCCTCCGTGTCCTGGCGGCGGTAGTACTCGACAAAGCAGAAGCCGCACGGCGTCTTCGAGAAGCGATCCAGCCCCATCACCACCCGCCGCACCTCGCCCGTCTTCCCAAAGAACTCGTACAGCTGCTCCTCCGTCGTGTAGAAGGAGAGGTTGCCGATGTACAGCGTCGCAGACTGCTCAATCGCCTCCTGCCAGCGGCCGCGGCCGCCCTCGAACTTGCGGTCCGTGTACAGCGACTTGACGCCCAGGTCGCGGTAGAGGTGCGCCATATCGCGCAGGACGATGGGAGCGATGGCCGTGAGCAAGCAGTGAGCAACGCAAGTGAGCAACGCAAGTGAGCCGGCAGGTTTTCTTTCCCGTCGAAATTTCGGCGGTTTTCTTCTTCATTAGCTGGCTGCCACTCGCGTCTCGGTGCGGCCGCACGTCAGGCATGGCCGCGGCGAACGCCAACTTCCTCGGTCCGCGAACCCCGCCGAGCCCTCCCTCACACACGCGGAAGCCGCCGCGCGGGTCTGGCAAGTACGGCCAGACGCACAGCGCTGCGTCCGGCCGATGCAGTTGCGCGCTTGTGGAACGTCAGTTGCGGGGAGAGGCGTGAGATGGGCTGGGCGAAGAGGCAGGGGGCGGCGAGGAAGGGGGGAGAGGGGTTGGGTAGGGAGCGGTTGCGGGGAGTCGGGGGGGGGCGGGGGGTTCAGGTGGGAGGGCGATGTGCGCGCAGCGGCCGGCGAGAACGGTGGCGGTGGAGGGGGCGGCGGCGAGAAGGGTGGGGTGGAGAGAGCCCGGCGATTGGCGGCGTTCGCAGCGCGCCGCCGCGCGGCTGCGGAGAGACTCCAGCTGCTTGTAGAGCGCCCACGCATGCGCGCTGCGTGGGCTGCATCGATCCCCGCCGGGTGACTGGCCAGCGGCCACACCGACAAGACACGCGCGATGCCCTCCTGGAGCACCCAGACGCAACAACTGCTGAACCCCCCCCCCCCCTCCCCGCCCGCCCCGCGCAGAGATCAGCAAGGCGTTCTGCCAGCACTACTACAACGTCTTCGACACGGACCGCGCTAAGCTGCAGACGCTGTACCAGGAAAGCAGACGTAGGAGTCGAGCTCAGACGAGATTGAGTCGAGCTCAGACGAGATTGTCGTGGGGCGCAGCACATCCGACCATGGGGTGGCATGCTGCCTGTGTCTCCCCCCCCGCCCTGGGGAATCTTTGGTTCGCGCACCTCCTCGTCAGTCTTTTCCGCTGCCCACCTGGGTATTGGGGCCCAACTAGCATGCCCTGTCGTTTGCCT